ACTGCTACCTCTTGAGGCCACCTTTCAAAATTCATGATTGCGCATAAGCGCTTTTGATATTGAAATCGACCATAGAAATTTCGAAAATATCAACCAATGTCTAAAATCACATAGGAGACAACGAGAATCAAGACAGTGCTCGAAGTGATCAAACGACATTGCCGATGACATTCAATAGGCACGACATGTGCGGGGGATCCGGAAAATGGACTAAAGGGGACACTGTCTTGGAATTCTCATCACCTTTTTGAGCATTAAGTGTCAATTGTCACATCGAAAAACACTATACATTGGGCACAACATTGAAAAATAATAAGAAACGATTGCTCTATTCATGTCCTTCATCCTCTTTCTTGAACTCCTGATAGTCCTTCTCAGAGAGCAAATCCGCCAGCTCACTTTTGTTCGACAGCTTCAGTTTGTACAGCCATCCTAAAGCACAGCGATTGAATGGTAACTAGAAAGGGTACAGAGCTTTCAGCAGCGCGATCGCTTTCAAGCAGGGTCAATCGTCGCGTTTGCACTTTTTCAGAAAATTTAACAACCATCCTCCCAGGGGGTCTCGATACGACCCCCCATCGCCACCAACAGTTATAGGGGGGGGGGCATACCACCTTTCCCCATTCTTTGACCATCACCTTGACCAACCATCCACCTCTTTCTGTAGATTTGATTCTGAAGACCCTTCGACATGCTCCCAGCTCCGCCCAGACGATCCCTCTAATTTTGTCTATATCACGCTTCTTGTATTATGGATTTCTTAGATATCTTCACTGAAATCATTGATAACCCATCAAAACGACCCTTCCTAACCAGAACCATGATTCCTTCAACTTCCACAAATACGACCCCCCTCGCACTTTTCAATAGACAGTTTCAATTTTTTTCGAAAAAGGTAACCGTCGTCAACCCCAAGCATGTTCCCCCCGTTCGAATAGCTCTCACAAACGGTTGAACCTGCTTTTGGAAAGCCAATGTCTGGCACTCTATTACCTCATCGAGAGAAAAAAATCAACGACCAAACGCAGAAGTAATGGAAGTAACACATTGGGGGGACGTATAATTTCTCCCTCGGGCGGATTACACGACAAAGGGTGGAGCTAGATGGATGAGGCGGCTATCTGGGACGATGCGGTCCTGATTCAGCGCTTCCCGCCGAACTGCCGAGGTTACCTTGATGAGGAACAGTTTTCGACCCGAAAGCACCCAATATTTTACATGAGAGCACATTTATCTAATTATGGAATTCGTGTCAACCTTATCTGAAACCACCTCTTCCATTCTTGTGGCCACATCCGCTTCCTTCCCTGGGACTGTTAACTGTACTCAGCCCCTCTGCCCCTCCTATCCCAGAAGAGCAGCGTATTATTTTGTAGATCAAAAACAAGCCCGGTAGAAAGCATTTCATCTCACCGTCGCCAAATGGGCTCTTATTTATTTTTCCTGGCTCCTGCTCGAGAACTTCATTCTTTTCTGTCACTGTGCCAGACACGGGTGCGTAGATATCAGAAGCTGCCTGTAACAGTTGCACATAATGTTAGCCTACTAAAAGAGCAAATTTAGGGCTGCCGCAAGCCTCAGTCTCAAGATGCGTATAGTAAAATATTCACCTCAGTTCAATTGGCAGGTTGACTTATTTAATTTTCTCAGTAAAATTCTCATTTCAAAATATTGAAAAAAGGAATGCTGGCGATAGACAAAAACTTCCCGCTATTGAAGCGCTTGAAAAATGAAATCTAAGATTATGGAATTCAGTAACAATATTCAATTAATCAAAGTGGATCAAGTCAAGTGCGTGGCACATTAGGGGCAACTGTCGAAGCTTATCTTTCTGCAGTACGATTAGTTTATATAAGTAGGATTATATCGCACCATATACAAACAACTACTTCTCGGGACAAACCCAAGTGCATGGCGAATCCAAGACAAGGTTTCAACATAACCTTGTGAACCACATAATTTAAATAGTTTATAAGCACTCGAGAATCTCAATCCTGCCCAAGTATTTCTGGTTCCATATAAAAGCTTACCGCAAACGGAAAACTGAAGAAACGCAAATCGATTTTACTCTCGCTCTGTGCATTTTGAACTACGGTAAGAGCCGTCAGTTCGAATCAGCGCTCGCAGATTTAGATTTTGAACTCCGTGCATTACGAAATAACAAAAATCGTCTGAGGAAACAGCGAAACGGATCGTATTAAATTATTGTTTATAAATGTTTTTTCACGCTTGAATACCAAAAATTCACATTGTACATACCTTGACACTTTCTACTGCTCCTGTTGATTCTCCTTTCACAGAATTTTTGGCATCTTTTTCTGGAAGTTCAACGAAGACAATGTCGCCAAGCTGCTCCTACAAATGAACTCTTAAAGCGTTCATTCCAGAGAACGGTTCATTAAGTGGTCGCACACTCATAGTGCTGTGTATTCGAAACAACTTTACATCAACAGTGACAGAAATAAATAGCTTCCTGAAGAACTGCTAACCCTAACAATAACAACTTACCGCTGCGAAATCCGTAATGCCAACAGTGCCCAATTCTCCTTCCACTGAAACCCACTCGTGCTTTTTGGTGTACTTGCGTTCTGGAAATTAGGGCAATAGACAAGAAATCCAATCCACGTACATATCCAGTGAAGAAGTATGACAGAATCTACCCTGTTCCCACTGGTAAGCGCTCTGTGCATTCACATTTGTCAGAGAGTTTCACCTATGCAATACAAAAAGTGGGACGATGGCTTAAAAATGACAAAGCTTGCCGTGTTGATCTCCCTCCCCCATCTTTTGGGATACGCCATGCATCAGACATTGATTTAGAACATGTGATGGTGGCTTTTTTCATTTGTTATTACTTGTTTTAATACCAGACAAACTTTACCACTTATCCTGCCTGCACCAGAGAAATATGAAGGGTGATTGGTCCAGACTGCTTGCAACCCAGGATTCAATACAGGGACCGATCTCTGCTACCGGCGGCATCAAGCAGGACAAATCCCCAAGAAAGAACTGTGTAGAGGTGGGATGGGGTATGCGATCGAGGAGGAAGGTCGACGCCTTCTTCAACAACCAATCATCTTTTCGCTCTTAATTGTACAGACATTTCCTTTTTGTAGTCATATTCACCTGCAAATATGGATGGCGTAACGGAGAAGGCCCTCACTGGCATGGCAACTCGCTCGACATGTGTTATCAATCGCACAGCGCTACGTGCGAGCAATGCCATTCTGTAAACTAAAGAAAATGTTGAATTCTTGATGAGGTGAAAAAAAATCATCCCATCGTAAACATGATATTTTTCAGTCAAGGACTTTTTTTTTACAAAATTTAGACTGGAAGATCCAACATTACTGAAGCGTTCAAAATAATCCAGTGTAAACTGCACGATGTTGATACGTTCAAAAGACTATCCAATCATAGAAAGACGTGAGTACGGTGAGTACGTGAGTAGGGATTTTAAAATAAAACGTATGGTGGTGCAGAAGTCCCCGTCAGCGTAAACAGTTCGCTCTGAGTATTCGAGCCGGCGGTGGGTCGTTTTCGGAGACGAAAAAGGCTGATCCCCTTTTGAAAAATGTGAAAATGGAAAGGGGCCGTTCTTGAGAAAGTTGTAAGGGTCGTGGGTCGGGAGAGAGTGGAGCGTTTCTGACGGGATTTCCACAAGTTGGTGTAATTTTTGAAAAGCGTGAAAAAAAAGAAATTTGACGTTTTTGGACATATTTACCTCCGCCCCCTTCTCTCGCTCGACTGCTATTCCAGGACGGAAGTGGGCGGAGATGGAGCATACTGTCACAGGATCAAATTCAGAAGCAGCTACATATGATGACGAAGGCGTGGTCATATTTGGGGATCACCCAAGGCCGATGGCGGTAGAGGATCGTATTCAGACTGGAGGTCGAAGATTAACGAAACCTCACAAGAGCCCTCCTCAGGAAAGGGTCGTAAACTTTATGAAAAAAGTGTGAAAGCGACGACTGATCCTGGTCTCCGCTATTTAGGAATCAACTACAGAAAAGAGGGCTAAGTACCAATGAGAACGTTTCAAGCCCTCCCTTCTGCAGTAGCTTATGAGCATTGCACGAACTAACTGAAAATAAACACTGGGGACTTTGATTCTAGAGCGGCTGCCGGCATGATGGGCGTTCCCGGTCTTATGCGATAAGCTTTCAGCGCATTTATTCCTTACTTTCAAAATTCAGCGTAACCTCTACGCTTACGCTAGATTATCTAACTCACGAAGAGGATTGTTCCACCAGCCCAATCTTTGAAAACGCCTCCCGCTACTCTACAGACATTCAGAATTGCATAGTACGTGAACATTTGATCAATACGATAGCTCTCACAAGGGAAGTCTTTCAGGACATGGAGCGTTTTTTCAAAATGGTTTTCTGAATGTTGTAGAGGCTCATGTGAGGAACACAGAACCATGGTCCATTTTTCCTGAACGCCCCCAGGAATGTCAAAACAGCGGGGAAGAAATGGTCCAAAGTTCGATCCTCCGTGATGACAAATTTTTGCAATTTATGTTGGCGCCTCCAAATTGCCGCAAAACACGACAATGACATCTATTCTCGACGATGGCGCCATTTGGCGGCAATCTGGGGCGCCAAACTATATTGCAAAAATTAGTCATCACCGGGGATCGAACTCTGGACCATTTCTTCACCACTGTTTTGACATTCCTGGAGGCGTTCAGGAAAAATGGATCATGGTTCTGTGTTCCTCGCATGAGCCCCTACAACATGCAGAAAACCATTTCGAAAAAGCGCTCCATGTCCTGAAAGACCTCCCTTGTCAGAGCAAGCCAATGCTTAAATGCACTTCGTCTGTGGTGGCAAGTGTAGTGGGTTACCACACACTAGCCCAGTCTGGTATTCCGTGACCCGACCCTTGAAGAGGGAGATTCGATCCTCAGATCGCAAGATCACTAGTGCCGTTCCTGCCTTAAAGTCACCTCAAACTTCACACGAGGTGAGTATTTTCTAGGGGTATCTATGGAAAAATGGCCTTTAGACTGTCAGAAGTACAAGGTAATTGACCGTCTAGTGAGATTTTCCCTTCCTTACACATCCATCTACATTGTCGCCATCAGAACCTTGCTTATAAGAACCTGTCGCCATAAGAACCTTGGGTTGACGGAATACAGTGGTTCGTCTGAGTCAGAGGCGAAACGAACCATGGTCTGTTTATAGTTTATTAAGCCTTCATACATCACCCTTCGTTCTAATTATTAACCTGAGGTTGCTCCAAGGCGTGGGAAAACAAAAAGGAATATAAGAGCACCGGATGATATTCTGCAGGTACGCCATGCCTCTGGTACGCCACATCCACTATAAATCTAGAGTAACCTTACTCTCTGTTTCCTTTTCCCTACACAGACGGTGGACGATGCAGAGAAGTCAGTCCCTAGTTGGGTCACTAAGCATGCTGGATAGCTTGAACAAGTGAAAAGCTTGATTTAATAAAATGAGGAACAGTTGAAAACATTCAAGCAGAAGAGAAATTAGCTCAGTTTCACACCAAAAATTCATCAGAGGTGAGTTCGAAAGCAGTGCGGAAAGTCGATGGAGTCGCAAGATGCTTCGTTACACTATCGACTGCGCTTATCACTGATAAGGATGACAGATAGTTAGAACGAAAGAAAATGGATTGTCGTGTTTATGGTGTGATTAAACATGCACAATCATAGAGTTGGACACCTCTATTCACTTAAACACCAACAGATAATTTCTTGACTTATTACAACGCAAAATTATGCGTTTTGGAGGCAACGCTCATCGGAACCCTGGGCTTCTTCCAAGCATAGGCATATTACGCAGATTCGCTGTAGAACAATCCAATCTACATTAATTACTTGCTATTTGAATTCTTCAAACGTTTTGTCCAAAAGGCTTTCTCCTGCCATATGAGGCCTAAACAACTTTTAACAAAGATTAGTTTTTGGGATTCCTAAGAGTGAGCAGAGTCTAAGTTTCGATTGCTTTCGTCATATGCGGATGTCAATGCACTAAGTCATGACTGCCATAGAATACCATAGATACTGCATAAGGGACGAAGAAGCCGTGAATGAGCATGTGGTCGCAACGAATGGATTGCTAAGGAAGAGAAGAAAGAAAGAAGCGCCGAGAACGTTGGAATCAAAGGTCCTACTTTCTTGCGTGGTGGTCGACGAGACAAACAAAACAGTCAGGCTAATGGTTAGAGACATTCTGCGTTGAGGAGAGTGAGCAGACGAGCGACATGAAGGGGAACAGCACAAACGAGAGAGCACAGACACCCTGCCGCGTAAAGCGTGACAAGCAGGACCAGAAGGTGATTTGATTGGCGGTCGTTCGTTCGTTCGTTCGTTCGTTTGCATGTGTTCAGCAGAGTACCGAGCCTTTTGGCCCTAGCCGACGTCCTTGCAGTTGCGAACAGTTATATTTCACCCACAGAAAAGATTAACCTAGCCCACTATGCTCTTATGTCGAGTTGTGTACTTGACCCAACTTGGGACTAACGATAAGATCGTTACGAATTACATGCATTCAAGCAGAAGATAAGGAGGAATAACGGTGAAGTAACTTGGCACCAGGCATTTCCCATGGTGATGTGAATAAATAAACCGTAGGTCCCTCTTATGCTTATTCAGCCTATAGGATGCAGTACCCCACACAAAGTCATGAGGCTAACCCCCAATTTTGAGGCACCGCTTCGTTAGCTGAAGAAGCGGAGTTGACAATGGAAGGTAACTCATTAAAAATCAAGGTACTGGCAGTCATAGAAGATGCGGGATAAAAAACCAAGAAAAACGGCCCGGAACCCAATAAATGGTACCCGTTTTTGCCCTTGATTTTAGCAATTATGCGAGTCTCATCGGTGCTGCCAATGGCCTCTTTAACCCTTTCCGGACCGCGCACTTTTTGCGCTCACGGCCGCATGCTGCGCGGCAAGCATAAATATCATATATTTAATCTGTATTCCCACTAAAGCCATTATTTTGTCTCGTTTATGTCTTTGTCATGTCTCGAAGAATATATAAGATTAATTTGACAGAAAACTGTTTTGCAAAAAAAGGGAAAGGGCCATAAAAAGGGAGGAAGGGACGAAAATTGTTCAAAATAAGTTGGTATGGAGAAAAAGGGAGTAGAACGTGCCCAAAACGATTGGATCCATAAGAATCAGATACGACGAGCAGGATATTTCACAAATTCTTCGTTTTTAAGTGTTTTCAAGCGAACTACAACTGTTTTCTTTGAGCCCAAAGTGGAAGTCCATTTACTCTTTGGTTATTTTAGAACCTAGATTAAACCTAAAGTCTAGGTTTTTTCATACATATGGCATGAGTCTGTTACATAGGTATGTAACAACATAAAATATTTTATCGAAAAACCAAACTCTTGGAAAAATCAGCTCTTGAAGTTCCTGACACACCATGTGTGTCAGGCGGTCCGGAAAGGGTTAAAGGCAGCGATTACGATAGATCTCAAAGGGGTTTAGAGGGGACGTGGGGTCTCAATAGTACGCCAATGGCGAAAAAAGCAAAGAAATCCGTCAAAAATAAGCAAAATAGTACCCCTTTGATTGCCCTTTCATTTTCGACCATGGATGAGCGACGGTAAAGAACGACGTTGTTCGGACGTGTTAACCCCGATAGCCGCCATCATGCCAACAAGCATAGTGTTTTGATTGATAAGGCAATACGTGGGCAAGTTGGAAGATACAGCCGCTAGAAGGGAAATGATCATCCAAAATGAAAAGCCAACAGCAAACAGTCCATCCAGATCATCAACAAAACTAGTGGGCGTCACGTCACTGGGGGCGGAGCGTCACGCGGGTCCTGCTCAGCAACCACAGCACCTTTCGCCGTGGGAGGGCCACACATCGCTTCCTTGGCAGCCAAGTAATTGCTCCGTGTGGCGCAGGTTCTCCCCCGATGCGAAAATTCCTTATCGTAATCGCTTCCTTTAATGCAATGTCTCTTCAACGCTAACGCTCTAACGGCTAAAGTCAGACGGAGAATGGGCGGGCGAAGGCGCGAGCGGACGGGTGCGCTAGGGGCGTCCCTTCGCTGCGTTCTTCGGGACCCCACCTGCCTTTCGATTAGGCATACTTCGATCTTACCTAATCGTGAAATCCTCCTTCAACAAAGATTGAAGTATTGCGCCATATCTCCTTTTTGAATTAAGT